TTGTTGTTGTTATTATATTAGTAGTAGTATTAGAAGAAGCAGGAGATTCTGTATTACTTTTTAGTTTTAGTAGTTTTACTACTACTACTACTATTATTATTATTATCAGCAGTAGTAGAAATTTTAACAGTACTTTTAGGTTTAGTAGTTTTATTATTATCATTATTATTATCATTATTATTATTATTATTATTATTAACAGAAGTTTTAGTAGTAAAGGTTTTAGTAGTATATTTTATTTTTATTATCATTATTAACATCGGTAGTAGTATTAGTATTACTGTTTAGTTTTAGTAGTTTTACTATTATTATTATTATTATTATTATTATTATTAACAGTAATAGTTTTAGTAATAGAAGTGGTTTTAGCAATACATTTTTAGTTTTAGTCGTTTTATTATTATTATTATTATTATCATCATCAGTAGTAGTAGGAAAAAAGATGTTTCCGTATAACTTTTTAGTTTTAGTAGTTTTACTATTATTATTATTAATAATAATAATTGTTGTAGTAATGGTAGTATTAGTAAATGTGGTTTTAGTAGTACTTTTTACGTTTAGTAGTTTTATTATTATTATTATTATTATCATCATCGGTAGTAGTATTAGAAGAGGTTTTAGTAGTACATTTTAGGTATATTATTATTATTATTTTTATGGTTAATATCATCGGTAGTAGTAGTAGGAGGAGGAGGAGACGGGAAAGAAGATGTTTCAGTATTACTTTTTATTTTTAGTGATTTTATTATTATTATTATTATTATTATTATTATCAGTAGTAGTGGTAGTATCTGTAGATGTGTTTTTAGTAGTACTTTTTAGTAGTTTTGTTATTATTATTGTTGTTGTTGTTGCTGTTATTATTATTATTATTTTTATTATTATTAAACGTGATAGCTGAAAGCCAACAAAGTGACGCTGAGGTACAGTTATAAGAATCCGATTATCCACCATGACACCCAGTCTGATAAACATATATCAGGCAGATGCATCATAGGCAAATGTACGCAATACGGTGACAAGATTTGATAAAAGCATTAATAATAATACTAATACTAATACTAATACTACTACTAATAATAATAATATACTTGTGAGAATGCAAAAAAAATCACGCTAGGTAGCGGTATTTTTTATGGCATTGATCCCATGAGTCCAGACCCCACACAAGCTTTGGACCCACCATGACATGCCACGTATACTGAGTCGGCACACCTTCATTCCCTTCATAATCAATTGGTAAGGAGTGAGTTACACCCAGGAACCTTCTTCCTCAGAACTCTTTGCAATGTGGAACGAAGGGTTTTTTTTCCTGATCACTAAATATCCTCATATTATGCAACTGTTGCAGAGATAAACTTGACCTAAGATGACCCGTTGAAACACCAAAAGCAACGTCGATCCTGGTCAGTACCAAGATGGGTGACTCCTTAGGAATACCAACTGCTGTAAGGGTGGCGCAAATACAATTGGGAATTATAGGAATCCACCTCTTCTCCCCCAGCTATAGGTTAATTAGTAAAACTTGTATCACTAAATCATTATTATCTACCAAAAATACTTACAGTCTAAAAACATTTTCTGGGTTTAAATAACCCGCAAAAAGGTTGAGAAGACATAAAAACAAATAAATCTATCAATAAAAAAACAATGTCCGTAGTATTCTCAGCAAACTTAACTCAAATTGAAAGTAATATATTGTTGGCACAGATACTCGTTAGCTGTGATCTAAGTGCTAGTGTCGTTACCACCTTTAAGGTAGAACATTAATTTATTCGAATACCGTATATACCACGCGTATCCTGCGAACTTTGAAGACCTAATTTTGAAGCTAATTTGACAACAGTAAATGTATATATAATTTGGACAACGGTGTGGCTAGGACCAGCAGTAAATACGCTAATTTTATATCACGTGTATAATGCAACCCTTTTAAGTCAATGCATGTCGAGGACATATCTATCTATCTATCTATCTATCTCATCTATCTATCTATCTATATATATATATATATATATATATATATATATATATAACATGCCCTCGACATGCTTTGACTGACCTTTCAACCTGATGAACATTCATGAACAACGCATCTCATCAGGCGATCGTCTGATATAGTATATATATATATATATATATATATATATATATATATATATATATTTTAAACAACATAATTGCATTTAAGGATTTTTGGTTTGTTTTTTCCAAATTTTTCTTCATTCTGTCGGATCTATATCCATTTACATTTGCTTATATATATATATATATATATATATATATATATATATATATATATATATATATACATACATTATATAAAATCTTATTTTGCAACCACGGGTTGAAAATCAATCGTTACTTAAATTGAATTACTCAACTGACTACTGACTACTTTTAAAATTAGCTAAACTAAGAATATTTATTAGTGTATTGTCATTTCTAAATAAAATTGTTTTAAATAGTAATCTCATTTGCTACTTGTCACCTCCTATGGTAACCCTAGTTGATATTTTATAAGAATTGTAGTTGGTAAAATTCATTTTTTTTCTTTCCTGGTATAATTACGATAATAATAATAATAATTATTATTATTATTAATAATAATAATAATATTATGAGAAGTTATACTGAGTGGCCTAAATGTACTCACTTTTTGACATGCCATTCATAACATCTTGAATTTTTCTTTCTTCCGATTCGTGAATTTAATTTCATTTAATATTTGATATAAATAGTTAATGTAAGTCAATAAACATTAACATTTCTTAATTGTAACCATTAATCTTGCTTTCAAGTCAATAAACAATGCATTTATTGTCATTTAAAGAGTGAGTACTCGTTTTGGGACATCTTGTATTTTGCATATATATATATATATATATATATATATATATATATATATATATATATATATATATATATATATATACGAGAACTCACGGCCGAAGAAGTACAATCAAATTATTGAAACAAGAAAACTTTCGCGTGGAGATTTCAACGTGTTTTTCTTATAATATCTTACAATAAAAATAATAATCATATATTGCTCCACTTCGTATTGAGGATGTTTTTTATAAAAATAAATGCTACGAACAGTGGAATTTTTCTCCATCTGTTCTTTTATCTCATTTGGATATATATATATATATATATATATATATATATATATATATATATATATATATTCCTTTGTACGTCTTGAAGATGTGAGTTGCTTTTTAGAGCTATCATGAAATAAAAATTATTACCCTTGGATTTTAAGTGTTTGATATTCTTTAATTAATATTAATTTTGCTCTGTCATTTGGCATAGAGCACTCCTGGAAATTTCATAAGGATTACCATATTGTATCATTATATATATATATATATATGTGTGTGTGTGTGTGTGTGTGGAAAGAGTTTAAAAAGTTACATTTTTAATATACAAAAAAGGTAATATATTATTATCTAATTATACAATAGAAATTTAAACGATGCTAAAGACAAAAGAGATAAATATACAAATATATAAAACAGCTGGCCTAATCATTGTTAGTCAAAAGAGAATAAAATAAGGCCATACACGCATATATATATGTGTGTGTGTGTGTTTGTGTGTGTCTGCGTGTGTATGTCTGTGTGTGCATTTGTGTGAAATAAAATAACTAAAAACATCATAAAATATAATGCTACTTATTGATATATGTAAAATCATTGAAATCAGTGTTTATAAAGGTGAATAGATATAGAAATCTAGAGAAATAATTCTAATAATATAAATAAAAATAATAATAACATCTCCTTAACTAAATATAAATAATTATTTTAATGATATAATTTTAGTTTGCTGTATGTTCGAAAGCAATATTATAGTTAAATTATTTATATAAAATATTAAAATAATTATTCTTATTATTAAACAAATATACGGCCATTTTGAATATTCTGAATGATGATAAGCTTTATGTACATATACAAAAAGTAATTAATGAACAAAGAGTCATTATTTGCATTACCATTTGCTTTAGCTAATCATTAGATTGACGGTTTAAAGTATAGATAAAAATTGAAATCTTAAAAGTTATTGTATATAAATAAGCGAGTATAAAATGAAAAAAAATGGACATTTTTAAGGGATGCAATCATTCTTATCTAAAGTCCACACGAGTAACAGATCAGGAAACTTTGAGTCGACCGCCGATAAGCATTGTAAACTTATATTACTTCCGAAATAACACAAACACACACACACACACACACACACACACATATATATATATATATATATATATATATATATATATATATATATAGGTAAAAATCTGTGAGTAAGTAATTCAAGTATGTCCCTAACAATATAAAATATTACAACTGATCCACAAAAGAGAGCTCAATATATTTATTATAGAGCATATAAATGAATTATATAAAAATGAAACTCAATTGCACCCCATTTTGATGGCCATTTCGACCACGGGATAATCTCCCTGGTGCTTGTCAATGATAGGTTTTAGTACTGACATACCCCAGGAAGATTATCAAAATGGGGTACAATTGAGTTTTCATTTTTATGTAATTCATATATATATATATATATATATATATATATATATATATATATATATAGTGGATCAGGTTATTAATGGAATAGTCGGTATTAAAAAAGATAACACATATTGGGTAGAGAGAAAAAAAATGAAAGTAAGTAAAAAAACGTTAACGGACAGACCATATATATATATATATATATATATATATATATATATATATATATATATATATATATATGTATGTATGTTTGTATGTATATTATTGTATATGTCTATTTAAAAACAAAAAGTACAATGTATTATAACTTCTCTTCATAGATGTTTGTCACGTGAACATTTTTTCGCATGTTTCAAAATGTTTGTTCTGTCAATAAAACAACTTTTGACTGGCTCCCGCAGAGACACACACGTACACATGTTTTCTTTCCCCCTCTCATTCTCTTTGAAACACCCACTCTCAAAGTCTCTCTCTCTCTCTCTCTCTTGCACACATTCTCTCTTTCTTTCCCCACCTCGCTCACCCTCATTATATTTCATTATCTCACATATTGTCTCATTCTTTCTCGTTCTCTCACACACTTTTCTTTATTTTCAAACTTCTCTTTCTCTCTGTCCCTCTCTCTCTCTCTCTCTCTCTTTCTCATACACACGTTCTCGTTGATTCTCTCTCATACACATTCTTTCTTTTTTTCTCTTCGTTCTTTTATCTCTTCCTTTCACAAAAGCATTTTATCTTTCCTTTTTTTCATCTATCTCTCACGCACATGCTCTGTCCCTCACACGGTCTCCTTTTCTTCTTTTTTTCTTGTATTTCTGTCTCTCTCTCTCTCCTCTGTCTCTCTCTCCTCTCTCCCTCTCTCTCTCTCTCCTCTCTCCCTCTCTCTCTCTCCTCTCTCCCTCTCTCTCTCTCTCTCTCTCAACGACACAGACGCTTTGTTCCTTCTTTTTTACTATCTCTCACAAATGCATTTTATAATTCCTTTTTACATCTATCTCTCATCCACACACTTTTTCTCTGTGAATCACATGGTGTCCTTTTCGTCTTTCTTTTCTTTTATTTCTATCTCTCTTATTCTCTCTCTCTCTCTTGCTTTCTCTACCTCTCACTCTCAATGACACGCACCCTTTGTTTCTTTCCTTTTCAATATCTCACTTTCACCAGCACTCATATTCAATTCCTCCCACACTTTAACAGTCTTTCTCTCCCTTCTCATACACAAGTTTTTATTCTTTTTATTGTTCTCTCTATCTCTCTTACTTTTTCACGTTCTCTCACTTCCTCTCACACACACGCCTTCTTTTTCTCTCTATCCTCTCGATTCACGTTGTAGCTCTAATAGCCACTCTTTCCTTTTCTTTCTCTCTCTTACACATCCTTCCTTTCCTTTTCACTTGTCCTTGCTTCCACCTACTTATCTTTTTCTTTCCCACTCTTTCACAAACACATTCATTTGCTTCCTCATCTTTCTTTCCTTTTTCTGTCTTTCACATGCATATTCTCTCCCCCCTCCCCCCTCACTCTCTCTTACCGTCTCTTTCTTTTTCTCTACCTCTTTCACACTCAAACATATACTCTCCCTCTCACAGACACATACGCTCTTTTAAATTCTCCCTCATTCTGACATGTATCTTATCTCTCTCACATAAACACTATACTTCCTTTTCACTCTCTCTTACCGTCACATAACTCTATGCTCCCTACTTTTCACAGTCCCCTATACATTCTCTTTCACTTTGATAGACACATAAACAATTCTTCTTTAGATTTCTTCTTCAGTCTCTCACGTTAAATTTGTCTCAAAGAAAACTTATGTTATATCAAACCAAATTATTCATGCAAACATATTTCAAATAGTCAAGAAAAATGCTTATAAACGTTTTTTTGAAAATATCTTTATAGCATGTCATCATAATAATTACAAAAGTCGTTTAAAACTCAGAAAACGTCATATAAAGGCGTATGATGATATACATTTTTATATTTTGTGATACACGAAATAGTAGCAATATTGAATAGCGATATACAAAGAAAGAAACTTCTTCGAACATGCAATTTGAGGCAACAGAATCTTAATATCCTCAATTTTTTTATTTGTACCTTTAATACACGTCAGCTAAACATAGATACCATACAAAATACGAATGTATTATTGGCTATGCGACATCTGTAATCAATTCCGACGATTGTTTATATAATATATATATATATATATATATATATATATATATATATATGTGTGTGTGTGTGTGTGTGTTTGTTGGACATTTTGGTCAACACCCATAGGCTACGGTCTGTTTCATGTTTAAACGCTGTCTTTAGGCCTAAAGATTGCATTCAAGTATGAAACAGACTATGGCCGCTGGGTGTTGATCACAATGTTCGCTTTTATATTTACATAGTTGTAACTCTGATATTGAGTAATTTAACGTAAAATACAACATACCGTAAAACTATATTTTTATAACCGATATATATATATATATATATATATATATAGTGGAACCTGGTTTCATGAATTTAATTCGTTTCTGTAGGTCTTTCTAACTCCAAAGGTTTGTAAACCGAGACTAGTTTTCCAATAGGAAACAATGTGGAGAAATTTTGTTCGATAAGTGAGGCATTTTCATCTCGAATTTTCTGTTCGAAAACCGATTTGGGAGACATATGAGACATTCAAGAACTAAGGTTCCTCTCTTTTCTCTCTTAATATATATATATATATATATATATATATATATATATATATATATTACATATATATATTACATATATATATATATATATATATATATATATATATATATATATATATTCAAATTGGAATGTTTATGTTTGTACAACAAACGCTTCTAGCGTCTCGAGTCTTTTCTTGCGTTGGAAAGCGTATATATTACATATATGCACATGCATTGATGTCTGAGTATATATATATATATATTCATGAATTATTCATACAAAAACA